GGTTTTGGGAATTTTCCAAATGAAGCGAGTAGCCTTTTTGCCTAGACTATTTTCTTTACAACTGAAACTGAATCCCCGCTGTCCTTGGGGACAGACAAAACAGCTTGACATCGCCAGCCAAGGAGTTGTTGTTCTAGACAAGGAAGCAGCCTTTGGAGATCTGCCTCACATCCTAGAGGAGCAGGCAGGGGAGGGCCTGGAGATCCAGGGAGGGGCCCTCAGGTGCCCCGCCTTCTGCACGGCAGGGGAGTTCCTGTTTCTTCCTCAACACCTGCAGGACAGGACAGGCGGAGGGGGCTCAGCTTCCTCTCCACTGGTGTAAAGACCGGCTGCGGTCACCGTTTCAGCCCCTCTCCTGGCAGACATACGCCGGGGTCCCTCTGCTGGGCCGAGAACAGCGACCTGGAGTGTAGACAGCCAGGCTTCAGCCTTACGCTCGCCTCGGAGCCTGAGTCCATTATCTTTTGCTGTGGGACGGCAGCCACCCCCGACTCCATCCTTTATGCCTCACAGAGAGAAACGGAGCTAGAAACGCCACCCCCTCATCTCCCCACGCTCTTGGGACCCTGAGGGAGGGGCCTGTGTCTCCTCAGATGTCCTTGGCTTGTTTGGCCACGCTGCCTTCCGTGAACCAAGAGTTGCGGTGCTATTTAAAGGAAACTCAGAGATGAAGCTGACCTGGTGCCTCCTCAGTCAGGCTGGCTGACCCTCCTCCTGCCTCTTAACGCGGTGGGGTTCCTCTGTCTGCCCCCCCCCCAGGCACGTGCACGCAATGCCACACCAGCGTGACTCCAAACAGTGTGAAAAGTCATGCCCCGTGTACTTCATTGTGACAAGTATTGCAAATGATTTATTGTACCTGGCTCCTTCTCATTCCCGGTGGCACAGGCAACACCAGACTAAACCGTGTACTGTGGGACTTCTTGCCGCCACCCGAGAGAACATAAAAACCAGACCCTTTTCTTTGTTTGGTGGGGGAGGGGTCTCTGGAGGAGCTCATCGCTGCCCCCTCCCCCCACCATTCCACCACGAAGGCCTTAATGAATTCCTCCTCGGGTTTACAGACTAGCCCTAGAGAGACACGTGACCAAAGGCAGCCTGGGGAGGTTCATTTGGCTTACCTATCCTGAACCATAAGGGAAGCCAAAGCAGGAAGGCAGACCAGGCAGGAGCCCACGTGGTGGCCCTGACGGGTAGTGCTTGCTGGCTTCCTGGGCTGCTTTCTCAAAGCACACAGGACCCCCAGCCCAGGGGAGGACCCACCCACAATGGGCTGGGCCCTCGTGCATTAATCACTAATAACGACAAGGTCACACAGGCTTGCCTACAGCCCCGTCTGAGGGAGGCAAGTTCACAACTGAGGATCCCCCCCCTTCCAGACGACTGATGTCAGACGGACGGACACAAAAACCAGTCGGCAAGGCCCCGCCATGCTGGTCTTAGTACACTGCACTGTTCCTTTCTAATCTCTTCCACCCCGAGGCCTGACCATGCTCTCTGCCCCTTTCTCCTAATCAGTCTCATGCCAGAAGAGCAGCTCTGAGGAACGAGAAAGTAATTACATATCAGGGCCATTCTGAGGGGACCACCTGCTGCCCTGTGCCTGCCGGCTCTCTGACAGGCACGGGCTCTGTTATGAAAACAGTCCTGTAATTAGGCAGGGTGACATCACCACAGCTCTGGGATTGACTCCGTGAGTACAACTGTGGGTGTAGAAGGCATGAGAGGAGTTTCCTACACGGAAAGCCAACCACAGAGTCGACGATACCAGTCTCGCCCGCCGGGAGTACTGAGCGCTTTTCTATGGGTCAGGGAGGGGCCGGTGAGCTATGATGCAAATGCGGCCACTGCTCTCTGAATCGTCACAAAACTCCATCAAAACTATCCTCTGGAGTTGCATACGTGGTGTTTTGAGATTGCACGTGTGGTTAAGAAAGTAACTCCCTCTGAGTTTGAAGCCAGCCTGGTCTACAGAGTGGATTCCAAGACAGGCTCCAAAGCCACAGAGAAACCCTGTCTCAAAAGATCAAAATGAAATGAGAAGGTAAAAACGGTGACTGGAGAGAACTCCACAGATTGTCCTCTCCTCCATACATGTGTTGTGTCATGTGTGCCCCCCCACACCATACACACACTATTAAAGCACTGAGACATGAAACCCATTTCCACAGAACAACTGGGTGTGTATCCACAGACCAAGTCTTGTTTGGAGATCCGGTAACAGCAGCTAGCCAGTGACTACAGCTGTGTTTTAAGTTGTAGGTGTTTTTGCAAGTGTTGCACGATAGTTATTTCCTCCTATAACTGGAATATGAGGCTATTCTTGACACAGCAATCATTATCCCACATGTTCAGGGATTAATTTTTGTTTTTGCTTTGTTTGTTTGTTTTTTGAGACAGGGTTTCTCTGTACTGTTTTGGAGCCTGTCCTGGAACTCACTCTGTAGACCAGGCTGGCCTCGAACTCACAGAGATCCGCCTGCCTCTGCCTCCCGAGTGCTGGGATTAAAGGCCGGCCAGGGATTAATTTCTAAATTACAGACTCTTGGTTAGAGTTGTTTCACCTAGAAAATAAAAGAGAGGGTCCGTGGATTTATTTTTGAGAAGTGGAAATATCCTTGAGAGAAACTGTTTATGGAGGGGATGGCAGGTTTGCTGTGACTCTCCTGCGGATTAACGAATGAGGAGCAGGACAGACTTCGACATCCTTGCTTATAATGCTAGCCGCTTGGTAAAATGCTGTGAAGACTATTGAAGTACACAGACCACAACAGCAGGAATGTCTCATGTATCCTAGATACTTGTACTTTAAAACGTCCAGATGAGCACACTGACCCCAATATGATGCACACATTGACCCCAAATGACTGATGATCATATTGACTCCAGTAACTCATCGAGCAACAGACAAGGAGGAAACAGCACAGGTGCTAAGAGCTGTGGGATCAGCCTGGACCAGGGGCTCTGCGCCTCCCTCTGCCCCACACCCACCCCACGCATGACCTCCAATGTCCGTGGCTCTGCAGTTCCATGATTACAGCAACTCCGTCACTACCCATTTTTTCAGCTTCACTCAAATGACTCCTCAGAATGCTAGGACAACCCGGACACTTGATTTCCATGGTTTCGAATGCTACCTTCTTATTTAGCAAACGCAACCAGTTCCAGGGAAGCCAGTGCCCTCTCCTGGCCTCCATAGGCACTAGGCACACATGGGGTGCATTAATATACATGCATGCAAAACACCTATACACATAAAATAGTTTTTCTTAAATGGAGTTGGGGCTAGTCTCAGACAGTAGCAGAAGATTCATTCTTTTTTTTTTTAACACAGGATTGCCCAGCGACCACATGAGGTATAGAACATGCCTTTGTTGTGCAAGGCTGTCACATGTACTTCAGGACATAGGACATCTATGGCGCTTGCCCACTGGATGCCAACAGTGGCCCCATCCACTAAAACCCAGGGTCCAGGAGATCATGTGGGGTGTAGTCCTCACCGCACCAGTGATGAGCTCACGGGTCTACACACAGGCTGCTGATGACAACACAGTGTTCCATGTGGCGTTAGCTCATGTGACAGAGGGAGGTCTGCTGGGGGCTTCACACGGAAGGAAGTCACAGGAAGGACAGCTTCTTCTGCATAGTTATACATAGTTGCACCCTGAAAATTCCAGCCACACCCCAGAACCAGCCCTGGGACTCAACAACAGGAGGGCAGAGCCTAAAGTACAGAAGACCAAAGCTAAAGACCTCAGATTATGTCATTGCGTGCGGAATGTGTGCGCGCGCGTGTGTGTGTGTGCGCGCGCGTGTGTGTGTGTGAGACAGTGTGTGTGTGCGCGCGCGCGTGTGTGCGCGTGTGCGCGCGCGTGTGTGTGTGTGTGCGCGTGTGTGTGCGCGTGTGTGTGCGCGCGTGTGTGTGTGCGTGCAGCAGGCAGTCCTGGTGACTGTCCACTTTCTCCGTAGTTAAGGGGGCCACACAGCATCAGCCTGCACAGTTCCCTCACCAAGTCACTGGCAAGGCCAGCATGGCTCACACACAGCGGACACACGCAGCCTGCTGGGACAACACGTGACGTTAAAAGCTGTTTAACGCGAAGACAAGGGAGGGCTGGGATGTGACTCAGCAGAGGCTCGGGGGTCAGTCCCCAGTGCCACAGAGAACTGGACACGGCGGCATGCACCCCAAGTTCAGGGTCATCCTCAGCTGCACAGGGAGTCTGGGGCCAGCCTGAGCTACGAGACCTTGTCTCAGATACATATACAGTGATACATGAGCAAGTGATGCTTCCAGTGCCTTTGCACAAAGAGCTCTGAAGATGCTCCATGGACAGAGGGTGTGAGAAGCAGCCCAAAGCCCCGCCCCCTCCCGGAAGCTGATGACCACGAGAACAGAGAGCACACAGAGACAGCCGAGCATCGCAGAACAGCAGTGAGCGCAGGTGAGAACTGAATGAGGCACCTGGGGCAGCGAGGACGCCTTCTCGGCATGTCAGGGCTTCCGCCTGAGGGTCAAAGTCACATGGAGAGCTGTGTGAAGAGATGCAGGGAGAAGAGGGGACAGCAGGCCAGGCTCCCACTAAGCAGGGCCCCGTGTCCAGATGTGTCACAGAAGGCAGGGGAAAGGAGACAGCAAACACAGGAGCAACACAGCCTCCTTCTGGCCACTGCTCCCCGCAGCCCAGCAGGGTGACTTGACTGATTCTCCCCTGCATGGCCTCACCCGCTTCTGAGATGGGGACAGGAGGTGTCTTAGAGTGATGGGAAAACTGAGAGGAGGCATGCTAAGTGACGTAACAGGAGGGGCTTAGCGTGACCAAGCTTTATTTCATTTGCAGTGTTCACTGACTGGTTCTGGAGCATTCATAAGACAAACGGAGATAAACGTCTGCATGTGTTGACACCAGGGCTTAAAGCACTTGGCTTTTAAAATACCTAAAACTGTAACCCATTACAAAAATCCTGAAATGTGGTACACTAAGGAAATGGACAGTGACTAAGGATTTATAAACGCATTTATTGGTGGCATTGCCGAGTGAGTAATGCAGAGCACAACGTAAAGGAGCCAGCCCGTGGCGGGAAGCAGGGGTCTTACACCAGCACACGTCCATATTACACACGCTTAGTTTACGGCGGGAAAACCACTTGTGAAGCATTCCATTCTAACTCTGTGAACCCGAGCTCTCCTGTCCTCGGGCATTCCCTCCTGGCATTCCACCACGTGACGTGAAGAGAGAGAGAGCAAGGCTCTGCGGGCTGGCTCCGGGGCAGCCAGTCAGGACTGTAAGCCGTCCCTTCAGCTGGGATAAAGCCAGGTGAAAGAGACGTGCCCATGCCTGGGATGTCAAAGCAGAGGGAAATGTCCGCAAGCCAGAGGCTGGCAGAGGGCCCACTCTACACAGTCAGCTGCTGGCGCATTGCTGCAGAAAACAAATGCATTAGTTCTTCACCGTGGGCTTCAGATTTTACTCAGTGAAAAGGTATTAAGCCTCCACACTCCATAATAACATAAACACGGTTTCTATATTACAGAAGCACAGACAAAGGGGGCTGTCAATCACACTGTTAGAAGATACAGCATCGTTTGGGGTCCAGGTTCCTATTCACATAGCGCATCGATACGTAGCAGCAGACTGACACTATGACACCAGCGCCATATTGCTCAGAGCCCTCAACTCAGAAATACTCCCTCACTCCCACTGCCAGACACTTGCTGACCAGGACGGCGTAGCTAGGACCAAAGGTTAGTTGTGATGACACAGCTGGCTCACAGGACTAAGTCTCACTGTTGTGACACTGGAGGGGAGGATTCCTTTTCTCCACTGACTAGTCACTACAAAGGACTGTTGTGACACTGGAGGGGAGGATTCCTTTTCTCTACTGACTAGTCACTGCAAAGGATTTCCTGATGTGTCTCTGAACTGGGCATCTCAAAGGTAAGAATGGGAGGAGATCTGGAATTGAGGGGGAGTGAACTCCACAAGCTAATTTACACAGACACTGCAAATGGCCAGTGTAGAATGAATCAAAATTGTCCCACAGCAACCACACGTCAGATCAAATCAATCCGTGTTAGAGAAAAGACAGCTAACTTTCTAACCCACCTGCTGTCTGACTAGCTTCAAAACACCCTTTAAAATTCAAAGTTTCTAACAGTTCTAATTTGCCGTTTAGGTTGTGGGGGACAAAAATTAAAAATGGAAGTTGAAAGTGTTCACTCTCTCCTCTTCCCCAGGAAAGTAAATAAAAACAGAACAGGGCTCTTACAGAAACTGAGAGAAAACAAATCCACTAAGAAAATGGAGTCACAGAACGAACAGCCTGCTTTCCAGTGGTCACTATTCCTCCCTCAGGTCTGGTCCCTGCTGGGGGACCTCATGCCTGCCTCTGCCTCTGCCTGGAGTTCTGGTCATGGCCACATTTGATCACACAAGCCTGGGGATAGTCTTCAGTGGCAGGCTGTGTCAGAGGTAGCATCCGGACGCAGCCTAACCAACCACAGCCGAAGTTCAAAGGGACACATCAGTCTTCTCAAAGGGTTGCAGCAAGTAAAAATCCAAAATGAAAACAGCCCTCGCTGCTTGGCGCTAAGAAATACTCTAAGAACCGACCAAAAAGCAACCCTGGCAGCCCCTTGCCTCATCTCCCTGAGCCCTCAATGCACCAGCTCAGGTTGGTTGTCCACGAAGGGCAGCACCCCGCTCACGTAGTAGGCGATGCCCAGAGAGAGCAAAGCGATGACCAAGATCAAGAGCAAGACCCTCCAGAAGCCCAGGTCCTCCACAAACTCCTGCCACGTGGTCCGGAAGCTGGACAGGACGCCTTCCCCTTGCTGGAGGTTGGGATTGAGCAGGGAGTGGCTCTCCATGGCGCTGTGGGAGGAGGAAAAAGAAAGGGGTATGAAAACACTTCACCCATAAAGCTCAAAACGAGACGAGCTAAAGCAGCGAGCCCTCCAATGAGGACCTGTCACGTCTGCTGTGCGGCCTGTGTCCGAGAACGTGCGGAGGGTGTCGGGGATTGACAACACAGAGACTTGTTCAATGATATAAAGAAAACTTTAAACAGGCTCCAAAAAGGTTCAAGAAAACCTCCTAAGAAAAGCTCCCACCAGAGAAGCTTCTGCTCTCTCCTCTCCCCTGGCTGGTTCTGCTCTGACCCAGAGGTGGATGTATGTGGGTTTTTGAAGGTGCGGTTAGTCTTTGGACAAGGTCGAGGTCAGGGCGGTTTCTGTGGGAAGGCCTTTCCCAGGAACTTATTGTATCTTTTTTAGTAAACATGTTTTTACTAAACATTGTCTTACAGCTGCCTACTCCCAGGCAGAAGGGGAAGTGGGTCTCTGCTCAAGGTCTGGTGTTCCCACAAGGACCTTACTACAGAGAGCCGCTGGCCCCGGGATGTGCCGCCTATAGACTCCTGGGAAGCCACACATCAGTCGTGGACCATAAACTGATAAACTGCAATGAGCGGATCCCTGGCTCACTACCCAGCAGGCAAATTAAAATTCCTAGTCAGGAAGTCCCAACGGTGTCTGGCGGAAGTGGATGGTAGAGCTGGAAATGACGATGATCAAGACATATGAAACTGTCAAAAAACGAAGACATTTTTACAGGAGCCCCAGGCAGAGATCTTGAAACAGGTCAGATGCCCGGCTCCGTCAAGACATTAACCAAAACCCATTCTGTTCTACATTCGGAAGATTCAAAGTGAGGGATGGCGATGGCTGGGCAGAGAAGAGCACTGGCCAGGCCCCCAGCACCCACAGGCATCTCTGACTCCAGTTCCAGTAGGTCCAGTGCCCCCCTATGGCCTCTAGAGGTACTGCCACACACCGTACACACTTGCACATGTAAGGAAAAACACTCAAACACACGAAACAAAATCTAAACATAATTTTAAAAATTCAAAACAGAACTTCACAATATAATATTTTGTGCTCATAGAAATAACAAAAAAAAACCAAGTAGATTTAAAATTCCGCGTCAGTGCAGCATGTGGATGAGAAGGTGGGAAAAGGGATTTCTCTTAGTTCAGTCATGTGCCAGCTAGGCATTCTCCAGATAAAATCCAACGACAGAAGCGCACCGCAGTACATGTGGGCTGGTCTGAGGGGTTCCTCTCCTTTCACTTACCCGCGAGCCTTTCATGTGTGCATGCACACACATGGCGCCATGGGAAGGTCAGAGGGCAGCTCTGGGGATTCAGCTCTCGTTCCTGTTCAGGCCTTCATGGCAAGCGCTCTCACCCACTGGCTGAGTCACCTTGCTGGCCAGGCACTCTTACCAGCCTCCCCACTGCTCAATACGGCTGTTTACAGGGCCTGGCTACACAGCTCAGGCTGCCCAGGGCTCAGGTTACAGCTGAGGCTGGCCTCCAACTCTCCACCTTGCCCAGCTTCTCCTGCTCACGTTGTCTTAACAGGGAATGAGTTCCTTTCTCTTCTAGCTGGAAACACGGTAGTGTAAATCGTCTAAAACAGAGCCAAGCGTTCATGGCGCTATCGGGAGCCGAGTAAACGCCACACAGAAGATGGGAGCCCTGCCTAAAGCCATGGGGACATAATCTTCCCAAACCCTCCTTTATCTTCTCCCAGACGTCAGCACAGCACAACGAAACCAGCACACAGCACACAGTAACGGAACGTCAGGCATTATTGGAGATGGGCCTCCCGTCTCCAGCTGCTAACCTCCTAATGGGTCAGTGTGCTTAACACCCAGATTCTTTTTATATTAATAAATAAAACAAGGCACTTGCAGTAAGAGTCTACAACACTATGGAAATTTAAGAAAATTCCATCAAGTTCTATAATAATAAGAGTAGCACTTTGAGAAGTCCGATTAAAACAAAGAGACTTAGTTTGACCTATTCGAAGTTCCCTCAGCCTGAGCTGACGTTTCTCACACTGAAAGATCCGTGTAAAATGACAATTCTGTGAGCCTTCTCCAGGAGCCCACAGAGCTCTCTCTGCCAATAAAAACAGGGTCCTAACCAGGAAATGTGTCCTACTGTCCAGGGGCCACTTGACTCCAGTAGAGAGGAGGGTGTGGGGTATGGGAGGTAGGGTCTCATTGGACAGCTTTAAATTCAGCCTCAACTTGTGGAATCCTTTGCTCTGTTGCCCTAGTGAAGGGATTACAGGCATGTGTGGTCACACCTGGCTTAATCTTTTTTTAAACATATGTCACCTTCACCGTCTTTGTCATCCTGAACTTACATAATAACAATAATAAACGTGAGGGGCTGGAGGGGCGGCTCAGTGGGTAGCAGCACTGCTGCTCTTGGAGAGGACCCGGGTTTGAGTCCCAGCACCCACACAGCAGCTCACGGCAGTGCAACTCCAGTTTCAGGGGATCCTCTGGCCTCTGTCAGCACTGCACACACGTGACGTACACACATACATACATACAAACATACTTATATACATCTAACATACGAGCATACTTATATACATGCATACATACTTATATACACATTTATACACACATACTTATACATACATGCAGAGAAAACATTCATACACATAAATAAATGTTTTCAAATAATAAACCTGAACTTACAATAATACACAGAAACGGGGAACTACTCTTTATCAACCTGTTTTTTTTTAAGTCCTCCCACACAAGTTATCCTATGTCTCCCAGAGCCCTATGGGAAATATCATAGTAAATCCATTGCTGTAAGGTGGTCTGTTTATTGACATGATTTACGCTAGAGATGTCTTCTTTTTATGTCTCACTATGTCGTCTTGGATGGTCTCGAACTCACAGAGCTCCGCCTGCCTCTGCCTCCCGAGTGCTGGGATTAAAGGCATGCGCCGCCACCGCCGGCTTGTCCAGCACTTTTTCGGCATCTATGACTACGGCATCCACTCTTACGGCAGAGCATCACTGCTTTGGATAAGCGGGCGGCGTTTATCCTCTCGTTAGTGGATGGACATTTGCTATGCACCCACAAGCGGAACTGCTGGGCCACACGGTGACACTGTGTCATGTTTAACAAGCTGTCAGACTGTCCTCCAAAGTGGCCCCACTGCCCTGAGCTGTCATCAGAGGGGCTATTTGCCCCTCAACCTCCACAGTACTAGTGACAGCCTACTGCAGCTGTCCTCGGAGCTAAGTAATGTCCCACTGCGGTTCTGATCTGCATTTTTATAAAGTCATGGAATTTCGTCTCTGCTACTGTGGCACCCAGGGCAGGAGTCAGCAGGAGGTCCACACAGCAGCAGGGTTAACAATTTTCAGTGAGGAGAGGCAGCACCAGAGGGCGGTAACCAACACAAATGCCCATGACAAGCGTTTGGAAGCCAGGGGCTAACATGGCTCCCAAGCTGCCCAAACAACTAATCGTGCCTTAGTTAATTAGCAATCGCAACCGGCAAAATAAGGCCCAAGCGTATTTCTGATAAAGAGACCTACTGGCCAGTATCGAAATGAGATCTCCAAGAAGCATCATGAGAAACACGCATCACGAAATATTTTTCACAGTGGCGAAGCCTGGGGCTGGAGAAATGGCCCAACAGTTAGGAGCACGTGTGTCCCATCATGAGGACGGAGGCTTAGACCCCTGCACCCTCCTAACAGACCGGGCATCCCGCACACGCCTGCAACCCCAGGTCCACGGGAGGGGGGCAAGTGGAGAAAACAGGAGTCCTGGGTTCAGGAGACGCCCTGCCTCAAAAGCACGAGTGGAGAGTGATTGACGGACACCTTGAACACTCTCCTGGCCTCTCTATGAGTGCACAGATACGCACACAGCACGCACGAATGCAGAGAGAGACAGACACACACACAAACACACGTAAATCTTTTTCCAAAAAAGCTTAAAGCAAGCTACTATTGTCCAGAGAGATGAAAATAAGTTTCACGTATTTGCAGAGGCAAAGAGGTACCACTGTTAAAAGTGCCCTCGGCATACGGGCTCTCATCCCTGCAGAGTAAAGAAAGGGCTACGAATGTCTGACTGCGTTCCCTGCTTGTGTCAGCTTCTGGAGGGCTGGGGGGCTTCCCTAGCTCAGAGTAAAAGCCCTTGGGCTCCTGCAGGACAACAGGGAGCTCTTAACTAGCAAAGCAGAGCTCGGTGAGAGTGTGGAACCCAGCAGACGGCACAGGAAGAAGGAACCAGAGGTGGGCTGTTGGCTGTGAAGTGCTGACCCTCATGGTCCAAACGGTGTGTGGGTCCCACGGTCAGAGGCCTGCGTGACTGGACCCCAGGTCACAGCTGCGCTCCCACACAACCGCTGAAGAGACAGCATGCAGCAAGCACCCGGGCTGGCCTCACTGGGTATTTGAAAGCTGAAACACTGAGGCAGCCCACCAGACTCCATGCCATGAACACCTCCACCGGGCCACTGGCGGTGCCTGCCAAGCCGTGGGGGTCAGAGAGCAGGGCACTGTTCACACTGACCCCACCGTGGAGAGCGGGCACTGTTCACACTGACCCCACCGTGGAGAGCGGGCACTGTTCACACTGACCCCACCGTGGAGAGCGGGCACTGTTCACACTGACCCCACCGTGGAGAGCGGGCACTGTTCACACTGACCCCACCGTGGAGAGCGGGCACTGTTCACACTGACCCCACCGTGGAGAGCGGGCACTGTTCACACTGACCCCACCGTGGAGAGCGGGCACTGTTCACACTGACCCCACCGTGGAGAGCGGGCACTGTTCACACTGACCCCACCGTGGAGAGCGGGCACTGTTCACACTGACCCCACCGTGGAGAGCGGGCACTGTTCACACTGACCCCACCGTGGAGAGCGGGCACTGTTCACACTGACCCCACCGTGGAGAGCGGGCACTGTTCACACTGACCCCACCGTGGAGAGCGGGCACTGTTCACACTGACCCCACCGTGGAGAGCGGGCACTGTTCACACTGACCCCACCGTGGAGAGCGGGCACTGTTCACACTGACCCCACCGGGCTCCCCACCACAGCCAGATGAAAAGCGATCACGTCGGAGGACCCTGCCAGCCGCCACATGGAGCTCTGGTTACAGACAGGAGCCCAGATCCCGTTACTCCCAAGCCATGTGAAAGCTGCTTTTTCTCATTTGTTAGAGTCCTGGGCACGCGGGTGTAATCACGAGGACTGGAGTTTACATCTCTGCCCCGCATAATCACGGACTCACTGTGTAACCCGGGCTGGCTTACAACTTGTGGCAATTCTCCTGCCTCAGCCTGGTCTCCGGTATTCCAGGTGTGACCTGGCTAAGGCCCGTCAATGACTGATCTATCCCTCGGTGCTTAGTCAGTCTCCCTTCCTTCCTGCTTATTCCCAGGACTGCCCGCCCTCCTTTGAAATGACTTCCTGTCCCCTCCAGTGCTACAAACTTGTCTTATCCCTCTCTAACAGAGCCCCTCCCCTTCTTGTGACCCACACTTCAAATTCGGAGGCTCCTCCCCTCACCCCTGCTTTAGTTGTGGCGCAGCTAACTAAACGCTACGGGGACCTGGTCACCGGGTACTCAAGTAAGAGAGCACAAATCAGCTCAGTGACTACTTGAACCTACGGCTGTGTCCTTGGTACCTTTCGCTCTCCGCCGTCTGCATGGTCTCCAGCTTCGAGTGCGCACCTCTGTTAAAGCCTTTCACCTCCTGCTCTTCCAAAGACTCCAGCAATCGGATGACGTCTTTATTCACGCCCCGGCGCTTCGCCAGAACTAAGGGGGTAGCACCTTGATGATTGCTGGAAAAGGTCACAAGAACAAAGTCACTGCAGTGGCCACGCCACACGGCTAGCTCCCACTGTGCGCCACCAGCAAGGGCAGCATGGGCCCATGGCTCACAAGTCAAGCCCAGAGCAGACCCAAGCAAGCCAGAATCGGACAAGAGAATTGCTGGATTTTTCCTTCCAGGAAAGAAAGAAGAAGAAAGGACAGAAGACAGTAAGGAAAAGAAAAATGAGAACATGCCAGGGAGGAACTGCAAAGTCCAGTCCTAGACTCAGTCTCTGTACACACTGAGTACATTCATGTACACGTACACACATATGTGTATACACACATGTATCTCTACACTCAGTCCCTGTACACACTGAGTACATTCATGTACACGTACACACATATGTGTATACACACATGTGTCTCTACACTCAGTCCCTGTACACACTGAGTACATTCATGTACATGTACACACATATGTGTATACACACATGTGTCTCTACACTCAGTCCCTGTACACACTGAGTACATTCATGTACATGTACACACATATGTGTGTACATACATGTATCTCTACACTCAGCCTCTGTACACAGAGTACATTCATGTTGTGTATTCACACATACATCTCTACACTCAGTCTCTGTACACACTAAGTATATTCATGTATATGTACACACATGTATGTGTACATACACATACATCTTTAGATTCAGTCTTTGTACACATTGAGTATATTCATGTACAGATACACACATGTAAATATACACTCATACATCTGTAGATTCAGTCTTTGTACACATTGAGTATATTCATGTATAGACACACACATGTATGTGTACACACATATATCTTTAGACTCAGTCTTTGTACACACTGTGCACATATATTCATGTACACATACACACGTGTATGTGTACATACGCATACATCTTTAGATTCAGTCTTTGTACACATTGAGTGTATTCATGTACAGATACATACATGTATGTGTACATATGCATACATCCCTAGATTCAGTCTCTGTACACACTGTGCATATATATTCATGTTTGCACACACACATTTATATACACACACATAAAAGGTTTAAGAATGAAAAGCTGCCTTGAGTACTGAGCTACCCGACAGTAGCATCAGAAGAACAGAGCAGACCTCCTCGAATCACGCCAGCTCCTGCCCCAATCTGTCCTGCTGTCACGGAAGCATTTGCTGTCATGCCCATCCAGGCGGCCAGGGCACCAGGACATCAAGACCCTGCAGCTTAGAGTTCAAGTCCACTGGGTCAAACACAACCAAAACCCCATGGTGTCCCCAAGTGCAGCCTGAAAAGGACTCGGGGCACAGAGCCACAGTGACACACAGAGCGTGATTCAAGAGACTGAGCTCTGTGGAGGAGCTAGGTCCAACTCCCAGCCCTGTCCTTCGTAAGCTGTGTGGTCTCTTGACCTCCCTATTTCAGGTATAAAACGAGAAAAGGGAGGGTTGGAGGGGGGGTGCTCAACCTACAAATACTTGGCTGGAGAAGATCTAAAAAATAATTAAAAAATGAAGATAAGAGACTAGAGCAAGAGCTACTTTTTGTGAGTTTAGAACAAGCTGATAAAACAACCTCCATCCTTCTTCTGTAGAATTACACTCTACAGTTAGTTAAGTGAAACCAGCTACGACGTCACACACACGCACACATATGCACACACACGCGCACGCACGCACACACACACAGACGCACATGTGCACGCACGCACGCACACATGCACGCACACACACACACTCCAGGGCGGGCCTCGTGTCCCCACACTCCCCTAACAAGGCTTCAGTCTTCGAAGCCTTCCTGAACCCGTCATTACGACTGGTCACCTGGTGGTCAGACCCCAGCCTGCACGGCTAACAGCCCTGGCTTCCAGGGCACCAGGCACTCACCAAATATCGATCTTGAGTCCGTTGGACACTAGGAACTGGATGGTGTCCACGTGGCCACACAGGTGGAGGGCCGTGTTCCCCTGGTAATCCGTGGCCAGAGGGTCGGCTCCAAACTTGTGCAGCAGCTGGCAGATGTCCACGTTCCCTCGCGCCGCGGCCAAGTGGAGGCCTGTCCTGCCCCTGCTGTCGCGGATGTTTGGGTCGAAGCCACTTTCCAAAAGCCGCTTGGAATAGGTGAAGTCTCCATCAATGCAGGCCTGAAGCAGGGGCACGTTAGTCTGTGAAGAGTCGTTGACAAAAACGTAGGACATGGTTGTCTGTGGCGGATGGGCACGCCTGCAGTGAGAGAGGGGGCCAGGGACAGCAGTCAGAGAGACAAGTGATCTTCCTTGCCCTCTTCCTCAGAATAAATCT